AGACCCCAGCCTCTATGGATCTTGTACTCAGAGCTTGTTCTTGTGCTGCCATGATTAGTGCCTCTGTGCTGTCTTTCAGTCCAGCTTTGTCCAGCCACTGGTAGGATTTCTGGATATCAGCCACCTCCTCTATCTGCCGGTGGTACATACCGTGCAGGGGCCTGTCCTTCCATGATGGTTCCTCGTCTCCCTCCTCTTTCTTGGGTTTCTGCTGCCTGAGGTATTCACTGAGCACTCGGTCAGTTGGGGCCATCTTCCCAATGTATTCTTGGATGTTCGTTGTCTCATCCTGGACTGTGGTGCTGACACTCACCAGTCCCCGGCCCCTTCCTTCCGCTTAGCGTACAGCCTCAGGGTGCTGGACTTGGGGTGAAACCCTCCATGCATGGTAAGGAGCTTTCTTGTCTTTATGTCAGTGGCTTCTATCTCCTCCTTTGGCCAGCCTATTACCCCAGCAGGGTACCTGATCACGGGCAGGGCGTACGTGTTGATGGCCCAGATCTTGTTCTTACCATTCAGCTGACTCGTCAGGACTTGCCTGACCCTCTGCAGGTACTTTGTGGTTGCAGCTTTTCTAGCGGCCTCTTCATGGTTCCCATTCGCCTGCGGGATCCCCAGGTACTTGTAACTGTCCTCTATGTCTGCAATGTTGCCATCTGGTAGTTCAATCCCCTCAGTTCTGACTACCTTCCCTCTCTTTGTTACCATCCGACTACACTTCTCCAGTCCGAACGACATTCCAATGTCATTGCTGTATAGCCTGGTAGTGTGGATCAGTGAATCGATGTCTCGTTCACTCTTGGCATACAGCTTGATGTCATCCATGTACAGGAGGTGGCTGACAACTGCTCCGTTCCGTAGTCGGTATCCGTAGCCAGTCTTGTTAATGATCTCACTGAGGGGGTTCAGGCCTATGCAGAACAGCAGTGGGGACAGAGCATCTCCTTGGTGACTTGTGCTATGGGCTTGGAGTTGGCCTCTAGTGTTGTACGCCACATCCCCACATCCCCATTGAGTTCCTGATGAAGGCTCTTAGGGTCCCATTGATCTTGTACAATTCTAGGCATTCCAGTATCCAGCTGTGGGGCATTGAGTCATAGGCCTTCTTGTAATCAATCCAGGCAGTGCACAGGTTGGTCAGTCTGGTCTTGCAGTCTCGGCTGACTGTTCTGTCTACCAGTAGCTGGTGTTTTGCGCCTCTGGTATTCTTGCCAATTCCTTTCTGTGTCTCGCTCATGTATTGACCCATGTGCCTGTTCATCTTAGCCAATATGATGCCTGACAGGAGCTTCCATGTAGTACTGAGGCAGGTTATTGGTTGGTAGTTGGAGGGGACCGGTCCCTTCTTGGGGTCCTTGGGGATCAGGACCATCCGACCTTCGGTTAGCCATTCCGGGTGTCTCTCGTTAACTAGCAGCTGGTTCATTTGTGCTGCCAGACGCTCGTGGAGTGCAGTCAGCTTCTTTAGCCAGTAGGCGAGAACCATGTCGGGTCCTGGTGCTGTCCAACTCTTCATACTGGAGACCCTTTCTTGGATATCTGTGATGGTTACTGGACCCTGTTCAGGGAGGTCGCTGTGGTCTGCCCTCAGAGCCACTGAGTCATTGCCGTTATGGGTTGCGTCCTTCTCCCATATGCTCTTCCAGTATTGCTCCGTCTCCAGCCTTGGTGGTGCTGTTCTCTTATTGTTCCCTTGCCACTGAGAGTACACCTTTGCTGGTTCTGTGGAGAACAGCTGGTTTATTCTCCTGCCTTCTATCTCTCTGGTGTACCTCCTCAAGCGGCTGGCCAAGGCTGTGAGTCTTTGCTTGGCAGTTTCCAAGGCCTCAGGTATGCACAGCTTGCTGTATTTCTTATGCACCTTCTTTGTCGCACCTTTCTGCACCTCCGTTAGTTGGCTAACCTCCCTCCGTGCTACTTTGATCTTGCCCTCTAGCCTCCTTCTCCATGGAGGGTACTGCCCCTTGTGGCTGTTCAACTTGTAGCCAAGCATCTCACTGATCACTGCTGCCGTATTGTAGATCAGCTTGTTAGTTTCGGTAATCGTGGTTGTAGGTATTGTCCGTAGTGCTGCATTAACATCATCTAGCAGACCTTCTGAGGGTACTTCACGTAATCTTGGTAACCGGCTATGGGGGATCCAGGTTTCAAGCTTGGCCATGATCCTATTTTTCAGGTCAGTTCCTCTCGCACTCAACAATCCTTCTCCTATCCTATTGGGGCTATGTACCCAATCTCGGGTGGGGGTGATGATATCTCGCCCCTGACTTGGCGTCCTGACTCCTCCTTGCCGTAGCATTTGTGTTGTACCTCCTCAATCTCTAGCTGTGAGAGCAGTCCCTTCTTTCGAATGTTGGAACACTGAGCTACTAGTTGTTTCGCCGTCATTGTGGATGTTGGGTATCGAAGAATCCATAGGTCCCTCATCCTATTCATGTAGCCCCTTCCGCCGGGGTTACTTGCGTAGTAGCATTCCAACAACGCCCTGTTTTCGTCTCTTGCCCACCGATGCCTTCTTGTTCCAGTAGCCCACTTTTCGTCAGGGTGCCCTGGTTCCTCAACACCTGACGCGGACCTTGTTGATCCGGGCGACGTCCGAGCCGGCATGCCTTCATATTTATCTGTCTCGCTCATGTCTGCGGTAGGCTTGCTTACCATAAGGGGTCTAGCCTTAGGACCCTTACTGGATACAGGCAGGAATCGATCCTGTGTTCCAAAGGCGTGTAGTCTAACCACTACGCTATCCAGCTGCTATATATATACATATATATATACATATGTATATATATGTATATATATATATATACATATATATACATGTATGTATGTATGTATGTATATATATATATACAGTGGGGCAAAAAAGTATTTAGTCAGCCATCGATTGTGCAAGTTCCCCCACTTAAAATGATGACAGAGGTCAGTAATTTGCACCAGAGGTACACTTCAACTATGAGAGACAGAATGTGAAAAAAAAATCCATGAATCCACATGGTAGGATTTGTAAAGAATTTATTCGTAAATCAGGGTGGAAAATAAGTATTTGGTCAATAACAAAAATACAACTCAATACTTTGTAACATAACCTTTGTTGGCAATAACAGAGGTCAAACGTTAGGTCTTTACCAGGTTTGCACACACAGTAGCTGGTATTTTGGCCCATTCCTCCATGCAGATCTTCTCGAGAGCAGTGATGTTTTGGGGCTGTCGCCGAGCAACACGGACTTTCAACTCCCGCCACAGATTTTCTATGGGGTTGAGGTCTGGAGACTGGCTAGGCCACTCCAGGACTTTCAAATGCTTCTTACGGAGCCACTCCTTTGTTGCCCGGGCGGTGTGTTTTGGATCATTGTCATGTTGCAAGACCCAGCCTCGTTTCATCTTCAAAGTTCTCACTGATGGAAGGAGGTTTTGGCTCAAAATCTCACGATACATGGCCCCATTCATTCTGTCCTTAACACGGATCAGTCGTCCTGTCCCCTTGGCAGAAAAACAGCCCCATAGCATGATGTTTCCACCCCCATGCTTCACAGTAGGTATGGTGTTCTTGGGATGCAACTCAGTATTCGTCTTCCTCCAAACACGACGAGTTGAGTTTATACCAAAAAGTTCTACTTTGGTTTCATCTGACCACATGACATTCTCCCAATCCTCTGCTGTATCATCCATGTGCTCTCTGGCAAACTTCAGACGGGCCTGGACATGCACTGGCTTCAGCAGCGGAACACGTCTGGCACTGCGGGATTTGATTCCCTGCCGTTGTAGTGTGTTACTGATGGTGACCTTTGTTACTTTGGTCCCAGCTCTCTGCAGGTCATTCACCAGGTCCCCCCGTGTGGTTCTGGGATCTTTGCTCACCGTTCTCATGATCATTTTGACCCCACGGGATGAGATCTTGCGTGGAGCCCCAGATCGAGGGAGATTATCAGTGGTCTTGTACGTCTTCCATTTTCTGATGATTGCTCCCACAGTTGATTTTTTCACACCAAGCTGCTTGCCTATTGTAGATTCACTCTTCCCAGTCTGGTGCAGGTCTACAATACTTTTCCTGGTGTCCTTCGAAAGCTCTTTGGTCTTGGCCATGGCAGAGTTTGGAGTCTGACTGTTTGAGGCTGTGGACAGGTGTCTTTTATACAGATGATGAGTTCAAACAGGTGCCATTCATACAGGTAACGAGTGGGGGACAGAAAAGCTTCTTACAGAAGACGTTACAGGTCTGTGAGAGCCAGAGATTTTCCTTGTTTGAGGTGACCAAATACTTATTTTCCACCCTAATTTACAAATAAATTCTTTACAAATCCTACCATGTGAATTCATGGATTTTTTTTTCACATTCTGTCTCTCACAGTTGAAGTGTACCTCTGGTGCAAATTACTGACCTCTGTCATCATTTTAAGTGGGGGAACTTGCACAATCGGTGGCTGACTAAATACTTTTTTGCCCCACTGTATATGTGTGTGTATATATATATATGTGTGTGTATATATATATGTGTGTGTATATATATATATATATGTGTGTATATATATATGTGTATATATACGTATGTATATATATATGTGTATATATGTATATATATACATATATACGTGTATATATACACATATATATATACACATATATATATATATATGTATACACATATATGTATATATATATATATATATGTATGTGTGTGTGTGTGTGTGTGTGTGTGTGTGTGTGTGTGTGTGTAATTAGTCAAACAGACCACAAAAAGAAACATTATATTAAGTATTCTTTTAAGGTCACAAGGGTTAAACAGAGAGCTGTGCCAGAACTGACTAAAGGTTAAAGTTCACGTTTTCTCGGCTTTGAGTGATGTGCACATTTCACCACAAACTTAGTAAGGACCATAAGTAAAGAAGTCATCACTTCTTATTAAACTGTTCCAACAGCGTGTCCTGTAAAGTAACTCTCTGCTCTTATACATGCAGGCTGGGGTGAACATTTATTCAACCTGTGTCGCTCACTTTTTTCAGGTTCAGGCTACGGACAGGTCAGATTGGAGCGAATGTCCTGAGGGGGCGGAGCTAATGAGTCTACTGCACGATATGACCACATCCAACAGGTGCATGTTTCTGCTGTTTGTGTGTGTCTTTTAGAGGATCAGCTCATTATCCATCCCAGTAATTTGATATAACACAAAGGCATCAGCTGCTACCCGAATCAGGATTCCCCCACTTCCTGTGGGATCCTGAGATGATTCCAGGGATACATTTGTAAGAAAATGTCTGTGAACTTATTTGTATTACCATGATTTCTGCACTGTTCTTGTCTGATAGAAAGTTACTTACTAGATAATAACAGTATACTTAGTTTTAAGATATTTGCTGTCAAGTACACTAATTAAGGAGGTGAGACTGTAAGTATGGGTTGTTGAGGTGCCCCTCAAAATCTGCTCCACTAACAAAATATTGGTTGGTTTGAACTTCTGATAAAAGTATTACAGCAATACACAAATCTGTAAAAGACTACAGAAGCATTTTTGAAGATCTGGATGTTCATCTTTATACAATAAGATAAACTACAAATGGAGGAAACTTAAACATCAAATAAGATTGGTGTCAATAAAAAGCCATGAAAAAAGCCATATCGGCCAACAAAAAAAGAGCAAACATACTGGGAAACACCAGCGCCTAAAAATAATCTCAGTGGCACGTCCCACATTTCCAAAGAATCCCACTGATGTCTCACAGCACTTCAGAGATGTGAGCAGAGGAGACAAAAGTTTTAAATTAAATGAAACGTAATTATTTGTAAGGGAAAACAAGAAACTTAAACCAACAACAAAACCTCATCCCAGCTGTAAAGCACAGTGGAGCAAGCACCATGGTTTGGAGCTGTTTTTCTACATTATTTACTGGACACATTGTGGTCAGTAGAGAAACCAACTGAATTCAAAATTGTAAAAGAAGAAAACAAATAAATAAAAGCTTGACAGGGCTGGGTCATGTAACTTGAGAATGGTTCAAACAGCAATCATAAATCAGTTGAAGGGTTAAAAAAGAAGGATATTCAAGTTTTGAATGGAAACGTCAGAGTCCTGATCTTACACTGACTGATGATGTGACAGGACCTGAAACAGAGAGGTTCAGTTAATACATCCCATAATTATTAATGAACTGAAACTGTATTGTAGGATTGGTTTTTCTCATTTTTGTGTAAGTCTCATAAAGAGCTACAGGAGACATCTGAGGTTTACCAAGTTTTAAAAAGTGAGCGATTATTTCATGTTTTCTACACTTGAAAGAGCACAAGATGATTCGTTTTATATCAGTCTATAACTGTGACTTACAGTGTTTAGACCATATGAGTAATAAAATGAGATCTGATCATTTTATTCCTAAAAAATTGTAATTGTATCAAATCTACAGTGGGGCAAAAAAGTATTTAGTAAGCCACCAATTGTGAAAGTTCCCCCACTTAAAATGATGACAGAGGTCAGTAATTTGCACCAGAGGTACACTGCAACTGTGAGAGACAGAATGTGAAAAAAAAAAATCCATGAATCCACATGGTAGGATTTGTAAAGAATTTATTCGTAAATTAGGGTGGAAAATAAGTATTTGGTCACCTCAAACATGGAAAATCTCTGGCTCTCACAGACCTGTAACGTCTTCTGTAAGAAGCTTTTCTGTCCCCCACTCGTTACCTGTATGAATGGCACCTGTTTGAACTCATCATCTGTATCAAAGACACCTGTCCACAGCCTCAAACAGTCAGACTCCAAACTCCGGCCATGGCCAAGACCAAAGAGCTTTCGAAGGACACCAGGAAAAGTATTGTAGACCTGCACCAGACTGGGAAGAGTGAATCTACAATAGGCAAATAGGCAAGCAGCTTGGTGTGAAAAAATCAACAGTGGGAGCAATCATCAGAAAATGGAAGACATGCAAGACCACTGATAATCTCCCTCGATCTGGGGCTCCACGCAAGATCTCATCCCGTGGGGTCAAAATGATCATGAGAACGGTGAGCAAAGATCCCAGAACCACACGGGGGGACCTGGTGAATGACCTGCAGAGAGCTGGGACCAAAGTAACAAAGGTCACCATCAGTAACACACTACAACGGCAGGGAATCAAATCCCGCAGTGCCAGACGTGTTCCGCTGCTGAAGCCAGTGCATGTCCAGGCCCGTCTGAAGTTTGCCAGAGAGCACATGGATGATACAGCAGAGGATTGGGAGAATGTCATGTGGTCAGATGAAACCAAAGTAGAACTTTTTGGTATAAACTCAACTCGTCGTGTTTGGAGGAAGAAGAATACTGAGTTGCATCCCAAGAACACCATACCTACTGTGAAGCATGGGGGTGGAAACATCATGCTATGGGGCTGTTTTTCTGCCAAGGGGACAGGACGACTGATCCGTGTTAAGGACAGAATGAATGGGGCCATGTATCGTGAGATTTTGAGCCAAAACCTCCTTCCATCAGTGAGAACTTTGAAGATGAAACGAGGCTGGGTCTTCCAACATGACAATGATCCAAAACACACCGCCCGGGCAACAAAGGAGTGGCTCTGTAAGAAGCATTTGAAAGTCCTGGAGTGGCCTAGCCAGTCTCCAGACCTCAACCCCATAGAAAATCTGTGGCGGGAGTTGAAAGTCCGTGTTGCTCGGCAACAGCCCCAAAACATCACTGCTCTCGAGAAGATCTGCATGGAGGAATGGGCCAAAATACCAGCTACTGTGTGTGCAAACCTGGTAAAGACCTATAGTAAACGTTTGACCTCTGTTATTGCCAACAAAGGTTATGTTACAAAGTATTGAGTTGTATTTTTGTTATTGACCAAATACTTATTTTCCACCCTGATTTACGAATAAATTCTTTACAAATCCTACCATGTGAATTCATGGATTTTTTTTTCACATTCTGTCTCTCACAGTTGAAGTGTACCTCTGGTGCAAATTACTGACCTCTGTCATCATTTTAGGTGGGGGAACTTGCACAATCGGTGGCTGACTAAATACTTTTTTGCCCCACTGTACCTTTAGTTGCCCTCCTTTATTCAGCCTACGTGACAGCAGCCTGTCAAAGACACCAGCTACTCTCCCTCCTCCCTGATGAAGCGACTCCCTCTGTTAGGGCTCTGCTCAATAAGCAATCATGGCAAGTTGCTCTTAGTCTCACCTGACAGAAAGGTGAGACACAGAGAGTCCATCAGCTTTCTTTAGTCTGTGAGTGCATGCAGTATATCTGGCTATGTAATCCATGCTTTCCTATTTTGTTTTTGAGACCAAATCTCCAAACATACCAATAACAAATGATTCTGGATTTTGATACTGCCCATTCCCACGTCTTATTATTTCCATGCATGTCAGAACTGATCTTTGTCTAGTTAATTGACAGGACATGCGCCTGTAACAGAGCAGGGTAGCTTAATGGCAAGAAAAAGCTCTGAGATGAAATATGTACACTATTAAAAACGTATATTTAAGTCTTGACATCTGTTACCAGGGACAGGAAACATAATCTGCACTTCTCTCTTTTAAAGAAACACCAGTTTTGAAACTCCAACAGCCCTCTTTTATCTTTAATTATAAAATATTTTTTTATATATGTGTTTTTTATATATGTTTTACTGTATATATGTCCCATGCTTCACTCTATGGGTCAGTATTAATACAAATACAGTCGTCGCCTCCACCCGCCTTTTCATATATGTAAAATAATGACTTCTTTTATATTTACCATATGAAGGAGTTTGTGTGTATGTGAGTGCATGTTTTCATGTGCACACCTGCATCTCTGCATCTGGCTGTCTTTTATAAGTATGTCAGCCAGTTGTGTTTCCCCTCATAGGGCCAAGGCTTTTGTCACCGTAGTGACCGTGCTTCTTTTGATCTTCTGATGTATGAGACTAGCAACCTTTCACACACACACATCCACACATGCACACACACATCCACACACAATGAATACACGCAAATAGAGTCCTTTATTCTCATTTATATACAAACTCTCTGCAATCACACATACACCCTGTCAGATCAATAATGAAGGTGTATTGTTGCCCTGCTATAGAGGCCTCTCCTATTCTGTGCTCCCCGCCTCCCTCTTTTCTCCTTGGTCACCCTTTTCTTCCCCCTTTGTCACCATCCTCTCCTCCTCCTCCTCCTCCTTCTCTCTTTCTCCACAATTTTCTTTCCTTTTTCTTGGTTTTCTTTCTTTCGTTCCCTCTTGTGCTCTCCCACTTCTCTTCTCTCGCCTCATCTCCTCACTCTCCTGTCCCTCTTTGGTAGATGAAAGCACAGATCAGCTCCAGCCTTTGAAGTGGCAGAGACTGGCACCCTCCCACTGGTTTAGCAGGAGGAGGAGGGGAGCAGAGGTTTTAGGAGAAAGGGCAGGAGATGAGAGGAGTTACAAGGAGAGAGAAGAGGAGTGGAAAGGGATGGGAAGAAGGGTTGAAGAGAGGTTTTAATTGAGAGGATGAGAGGAGCTGGCGCCGAGGTAGCAGACAGAAGAAGGATGGAAAAGAGAGAGGGGAGGTCTGGGCTAAGATCCTAACCCAAATGATGTCATTCACACTTTGCCATGGCAACCTGAGGAATGCCTTTTCAAAACCTCAAGCCTGACCAAGGGTGAAGGGTGGGGAGGAGCAATAGCGTATACTCCCCGTTCCTGAAGAAAAAGCATTGAGGTTCTCAACATAAACCTAGTTAATGCTGCTTTCAGTGAGTCAAAGCCTCAGTAATATCTGCTCAGACAACAAAGACAGATCAGAAAACTGCACAACTCTTCTACAAACACACTCTGAGGTCAATCATTCAGAATTTTATCAAAATGCAAACATTAACATGGTGAAACTAGCTGCAGTGTACACATGCGGTACCATTAAAAGAATAATAAGCTGTCTGATCTTCCTTGAAAGTCTCTAAATGTAGTGGTGGGCTGATCACATCAATCTCTGGGTTGAATTAAGCAGCTAAAGAGAAAGTACTTCACCCATGAAAAGCAAAAGTTTACAGATTTAAAATTGGCGAGCCTCCTTTGTTAACCATTCAAAGTCATCTCCATGCACTTCTGCACTGCTTCCAGCACTCGGGTTAATTTTAGATTGCTTCATGGGAGTCCCACTCTGAACACTTACCACATACCCATCTGATATTAGCTTGGACCTCAGGCTTGTGCAGAGAGAGAACATTATCTGGATCTCTGGCTAAGCTCCAGAGAAGAGTCTGCAGTGTCTGAGCACAAAGGTGTATTGTGTTTTGGTTGTGTTATTTAAAATGGCTTGTACACCATGCATTTGTCCCCCGGGATTAGATTATCAGCAGTGACTTTCAATACGATATCTTGAGGTGTCAGAGGGAGGACTTTTGCCACAAACACAGTGAATTCCAGTGGCCAGCAAACCACATTTTAAATTTTGCTGTTGTTCAGTCCTGATCAGCACTATTGTTGCCAACCACTCACTCTGCTCATGAGGTTTGGCTCCCTGCAGCTTTGTCATTTTCCCCAAACAGAAATTCAAGTTGAAGGGCTGCATTTCTACAGAAATCAGTGCAGAATCAAAACTGTAAGAGGACAGAGTGGGACTGACAGCACAGCAGGAGCAATGGAAGGCAGCGGAAACTCTTAGACTCACCTTTTGAAATCATTTAGTTGTTTATTTAATCTGAACAAAAACAACAACAACAATAATCTTTGGGTTGAGTTGTGAGTGAGTCTACCGCTAAAGGAACTGCAGATGATTGTCTTCTTTCTGATGAGTTCTTCTGTTTGTTTGTTTTCACACAGCAGACATCCCACATGTTGGTGTAAGCAGAGTGTGAGGCTAATGCGAAACTGTAATCTAAAACCAATTATTTTATTTTCCGCTGTTCTCTGTGCAGCTGTGTCAATTTGAGACTGTTAAGAGTGCAAGGATTTAATGAGTAACCAAACTCTAAAGTTTGTCCTAAAACTTTTATGGACCCAATTTATGTTTTCCAGATCCACAAACTTTCAAGGGTTTCCGAGGCCTCTGGGAAATGTGTTAATTAGGTTAATTATGTAGGTTTTAATTAACTAAGAGGGGTGGGTGGGCTTCTTCTGGCCTGGCTGTCAGGTTGCCCCCAAAGACACCTGGGAGTAAGTGGAGGGGGGAGGGGGGTGATAAGAGGGGGAGAGCAGGAGTAAATTATAGACAGCCTAGAGGGGCCTGGGCAGATTGGATGTTTTCATCAAGTCTTAATTATCATATATAGATGTATGTTTGTACAGAATTGTGAAAATCATTATTTATACACTTGTATATGTTTTTTAATTGTCTTACTACAGAACACATAAAATATCTATTTAATAAGCACAGGTTCATGTGGGCTGAAATTGGGATGTAAAGTTTTATGTTTGCGGAGCAGAAATAAATGTAGTAGTCTAATTACTAATTCAGTCCACTCAGTACCATGCTAAGTGGCTGCACCTGTTTCATTGCTCAGCATGCTTAAGAACCCTGATCTATTTTATTGTAATTGTGTCTTTGATTAAGCTGTTTGCACTCATCAACGGTTAATTATCACTGGATAGATAGCATGCCAGTAATACTACTCATTTTTTATGTTTCCCCATCACAGGTATCACACTGATGTCACTGGCCTGGCTGCTGATATCCTTCAAGAGATCTCTGAATCCTAAAAGCTTTCAGAGCATTCAGCCATGCCTCCATATGACTGTCATCATTTCAAATTGGATCAGTGGCAGCAAAAAATATTAGTGTCACTAAAATGTCTTGAGAGGGCAATCAAAACATGCATCCGGTGTTCATCAAACTTCACAGGATTACAGCATGAGTGTTAATTTAGACTGTCATTGGCATCACAACACTGACCTCTGAGTGTGTCAACACGCCTCGTGTCATCAGCAGTGACAGAATATTAGATCACGCATGCCATCACGAGTCATAGATTTCTACTTTGTAATAACATGAAGCTAATGGCGACATCTACAAACTCTTTTTTGTTGGTATTCCAGCACTAAAAAGGAAGTTGTTCTGTTTACTTGTAGCAGACTAGTGCCGTGAAAAACCATTAATACCAAAGTGGTTCACCACATCAACTGAGTTGTGCATAAATCATCCATGTCTGCTTTTACACAAGTTAGGTCATATCATTCTAATTAAGTCATTTTCCTGTGTATAATCCAGTGTATACCTGATCTCTGCCTACTGTTACATTCCCAATTTTTTTAACTGGATATAATTACTTTGCATAATTAAATATTCCATTACTGAGAAGTGTTTGAACTTAAAATGAAAGAATGACACTTAAATGTTCCAAGCTGGATGAAGTCGGGTTAAATAGGTGAGGTAGAGGTCATGTTAGAAAGATTATGCTTAGTCATTGAATATGTCCTTAAGCTACCTCAGCTGTCCATGTACCACCATCCTAGACATCCACACGTGGACACCACCAGCAGGCTTTTAGTTCACAGCACACTGAATTTTCTGCAACTTTGACTCATCGCATTAAAGCTGGACCCAACTTGCCACTGTACACAGTTTAAGTAGATTTCAACAGTCTCAGTGAACACACAGCAGGTGGACTGCTGGCACATCAGTTTCTCCTCACCTTCCCGTCAATAAGTGTAAAACTAATGCAGCAGGCTCCAGACCAGGGATGTCAAACTCATTTTACATGGTGGGCCACATGCAGCCCACTTTGATCTAAAGTGGGTCTGACCACTGAAACTGCCCTTCCTGTCAGTGTAAAGAAGTTGCACTACACATTTAATCTCTGAGATACTGTAACATAAGAAAATGCAATGTCAACAGCACATCTACATGAAGTCCAACTGTTTGGGTTTATATTCAGAGAAGGCCCCATTTCACTTCACTGTAGAACCTTTGTAAACAATGAAAATCTTTTAGTGTAGTACGCAGGAGGTCTGTCAGCAGGAAAAACTAAAATGTATAAAATAGTTAGGTCCAAGGTTTATGCCCTTCTACAATTTCCAAAGCTGTCTGGTGGGCCAAATGTGTCTGTCAGGCCAATTCTTGGCCCCAAGCCTTATGTTTGATACCCCTGCTCCCTGAAACGACTTCAAGTGTGTCTCATGTTAATCCTTGATTTGAGTAGAAATGAGACTTAAAGGCATACAGTTGAAATGACAGTCCATTTTATTGTTTCAGAACACAGCAGGCTACAGCAACCAGCTCCTCTCACTACCCCACCCACTTACAGCAGACCAATAGGAGCCCTCCTCCACCCCTGTCCTTTCAGACACTCCCACCCAGCTAGGTCAGCTACACCCCCTTTGGAACAGCAGAGACATCAGTGTCTCCCTTTAAAGCAAGAAAATAGCTTGATATTTGGACCATGATTTCCAATTCATGTTTTTATACAAAAGCTACACAATGTTACACTTGATCATCAGAATACAATTCAACTGATTAACTTTAGTGTTTGGACACCATTAAAATGTGATCAGATCCTTTACTTGGATGGAGCATTACCACTTAAAAAAAAATAAAAATAAAATAAAAATAATAACTCAACACTACCAGAGACTGAAAATACAAGGGACTGCAAAAACAAGAGATGAGTATCATAATTCAGAATAATGGAAAAAGCAAGCTAGATTCAGTTGTACCATTACAGACTTAAGGAAAACGGAATAAAAAAGTAAAAATAAAGTAAAAATGAAAAAAAAATTACATTAAAAGGGATTTGAAAACTAATTATTGAAAAATCTGTGTGTCATGTCAGGATTTGAGGTCAGCCCCCATCAGGCTGAAACCAGAACCAAACCGCACTCAAATCTAGTTTGTCCCAATGGAGTCCCCGTAGACGGGAAACTCTGCTTGCTGTTGTTGAGTCATCTTCAGGCACTTCTGAAACCTCGCCTCCTCCATATGGGCGAATCACGATGCAGGTTCATCCAGATCACATGATACAGCTGCAAGAGGAGAGCAGAGGAGAAATGAGCGGTGGGGAGGAGGCATGGCAGGCATTGGGTGAAGGACCACACATACAGATCAAATACAAGTCAAAGTAACTTCACAGACACCACATCACACAGCTTTGTAATTTGGAGCAGTCTGAACATGCAGCAGGCACAAGGAGTAAACCGACACTTCCCCCAGTCCTCGGGCTCTTTATCCAGAAACCACCTCTGAAATGAACACCACTCTGTTCAGCTGACACGAGGCCACAGAGTTGGGGGTTGGGGGTACCAAGTAAATCTTACCTAGTAGAAAGTGTAGTGTAATGTTGGTCTTGGTATTTACAGGTCGGTATCAAACCAGGCCAGTTGGTTTGAGTCGCCAGGTGGCAGGCCCTCTATCAGTTCCTGGGCATGTCCCAGGTCAGGCAGCCCTTCTACAGGGGGGTAGTCCTGGCCAGGGTGGTGCCCTCCACCCAAGTCATGATCCATCATGGGTTCCATACCCATTGTGTCCCCTCCGTAACCCCCCGAATGGAAAGAACGGTAACTTGGGTCTGGTGGAGGAGGAATGGATGGAGGAGACGCAGGTGAAGCAGAGCAGTTGTTAGAAGCAAGTTAACAAACCAAGCTGACACACAGTAGTATGATCACTGAAATGTAACACTGCAAATCAACACAGCACACGGTCAACCCTCCAGCAGACCAAATCAAACCAAAGCTGTTAACTCTTATTTCAGCTAAACTTGTGCTTCAGGTTACTGTTTAGTTGTTTCCACCAACAGGAATGCATCTGCAGTAGCCAGGGCCTTTTCTAAATCTATCAACATCAAGTCTGTTTTCATTTGGCTGACGAAGAGTCAATTAAAGCTGTTACTGCTGGAGAATTGGAGAGCATTGCAAATTAAAACCAACGCCAGCTTGCCCTCTAGCCTACTGATCGGCACAGTGTCCAAAATCCTGGACGCCAGTAATAATTAAAGAGATGGTCTGATCTTCAGCCAGGTCAGAATTAAAGACCATTTTGAACAATTTGACTGAAGTAGTAACACACTTTTCATGTCTTTCTGGAACATGCTGAGGAATCACTTGGTGCAGACTGGAACATTTAAGTGGATCCTTAAATTTAAAAACTGCTAGAAGCTTCTGTAACAGCACCAACCTACATCTGATGTCTCCTGAAGTTGTTTATAATAAAGCTGCACAACACTGAGGAGGAACATGAACTGTTTTTAGTTTGCTAATATCTAACAGTAGACCTCCTTCAGGTCATGCATCATCAGTTAGGTCAAGATGAAACACTCAAACACTAAGTGTCAGCTCATTAGAAGATCTCGACCCCGAGTAGATCTTTAGAGAAGTTGTTGGTCAAGTGGTTTACTTCATTAAGTCATATTTTCAAGTTCATTAGTGACACACAAATTTGTAATAGCTGTGTCAGATTGCGTATCTGTAATTTTGACTCTGATGAAGATCAGATCACATTTTTGATAAGATGAGTATATCAACTTAATAATAAATTAAGCCCACAGATGTACAAAGACTTCCAAAGAAGGCATTTAGAGCATCCCCAGTTTGATAATTAGCTCAACTGTTTTTATCTTGACTGCAGTAATAGTTGGGAAGCCTTTGTCTTCTGCTTTGCTTGCAAGTGTCAAATGAGTGACTTACCTTCTGGTCTGTAGCCCAGAGGCTCACCCTGAGCTCCGATATCCAAACCCAGATCTGCTGTCTGCAGAGCAACACATGGCAAACATTTGACAAAGTTTCAATTACACAAACACATGTGCATGTCTTTGTAACTGACTACACAATGTAAATAAGCATTACACAGTTTGTGTAAAAGTGTGTCGCACCTCGTTCCAGGCCATTGGTTCTGTCCTGAAGAGCGAGCTGGTGAGTTCTACAGAGAGGCGCTTCTTGTAGTCTTGAGGTTTGTCCTCTGACATACGGAACAAAACTGCTGCTGCGTATGTGGCTGAGAAAGATGGAAGCATGACTGCTTAGCCAACACATTTTTAGCCTTTAAAAACAAAAGCACTTAAAACAGCCATAATACAGCTGTCAGGGTTAACAAAAGAGACTAGGTATTACCCATGACTAGAAAGTTTATTCAACTAGCGTTCTCTGCATCATTTAGAGGCCCAGGCTGCACATGAGACTGGACTACACTGATCCAAGTGTTGTGACATTTACATATATGCAACAATATAATGAAGTTGTCACCATAAATATAACTGTTTTAAGAGCAAGCTTGGCTCCTACTTAGATTCTTCAACCATGTGCTACAACACAAGCCCACAGTGCGTCTCTGCATGATAGCAGATGAGCCTGAACAAAAGAGAGTTACTGAACAAAAAGCAGCAGCTACATTGAACCGCTAGAGCTGCAAATTTTCAAGATGCCACTTTAGGTCCACATCACACTAAAGAGTCTTCCAGGAAAACAAACAATTATTTCCAAGTGCCAGCGTGTTATCCAATTAAATCCCCTCATTGCACAGTTAGACTGGCACTTCTGAACATCTGCATAGTTAAATGCAGCTATTATGTGACTGATAGCGTTGTGTAAATGAGTGTTTTGGGTACATACCAACTCCTTCATTGCGGCTGTGCAATAGCTCTGTGAGTGGAGCAGTGGCTCCCTCAGCTTCGATGGCCTCAGCGGCCTCTTTATCCTGAGCGAGCTCACACAGGACGCCTGCTGCTACACGCTGGATGTTCTCAATGGGAGAATACAGCAGCTGCACACAAACACAGACCAACAGCTTAGTGAAAAAATAAATAAAATACTGAGCCTCCACAGATGCAGCCTCATGATACTACAATTTGTTCCCTCTGGAGAACCACCTCATGCATCCACCCAAACAACCTCTATCTGGGATCATTTTTCTAACCCAGTTCTCCTGTTTAATCCAGACAAGCTTCAAACAAATTAATCTCAATACTAAAAATATCATCCGTAATCTTGGTTAAATTATATTGTTTTACTTTGAGATTAAATCTGCAGACTGACCTGTACAAAGAGTGGAATGGTGTTGAGTCCTCTGATGACTATTCTGTTGTGGACATCTCTGGCCAGGATGTGAAGTGCTCCTGTACACCCTTCCACAATCTCCTCCATACGTACTCCCTCCTAATAAACAAACAGCGTAAGATCAGTGCACTTGCAGCATCTCTCTCTACAGACTTCTTAGTAGACCGGGTAGTACTGAGAACTACTGCTCTCTCAGTGAATTCCAGGCACCATGGACTGGTATTTATTAAAGCTGTGTGAATTCATTGAAATGATGAGAGTATGTGCGCTCTTACCACAAACTGCTGCTGTGTGCCTCCCATGCTGGTGCGTCTTTGTGTGTCTTGATGTGCTCTGACCAGCAGCTGAACCAGTCTGGGGATGGCGCCCTGCTCCCTCAAAGGGGCGTGGTTTGCAGGGCAGAGAGCCAGGTTACGGATCAGACCAACTGTAGCCTGACAGAAGAACACAGTTATGTGTCATTTAGCCACGATTTTAATGTCACTCTCAGGTTACGCATTAGCCACCCATAATCCAGAACCATACAGAAAACTTTTGTCTTGATGTATATTTGTAGACAGATTTACTGAAAAATATTATTTCAACTTAATTTCTCATCTTAAAGTCAATTATTAAACAAGCTGATTGCACTTGAACAAAAAAAAAAATTATTTCCTGTCTATCAGTACATGTAATATAACAGTGGAAATGACTGACATGTTTATGACAGCCTACAATATTCAGCTCATTATTTTAGCATCAAAACATAGTTAAGAGTGAAGTGATTTTCACTGCACTAAATGAATAGCAGCACGAGTGGCTGGCATTATGAAGAGCAGCTTACAGAGTGCTGCTGCCAAGTCTCTGTGTGTACCTTGATGAGTGGCCAGTGTGATGGCGGGTGCAGTAATTTCACCACTACAGGCAGGCCATAGTGCAGTCTGACAGCGTTCTGTGCCATCTCAGCATCCTGGTGTCGAGAAGTGAGGTGACGCAGGGCACAAATAGCTGGCTCTGTGATGTCTTCTCTGTCTCCAGCCCGAAGCACCGTGCGAACCAACGCCTCAATGCCTCCAACCTAGAGAGGAACAAATAAGGTGGCAGATTGTGAA